AGGGTCATTTTCAGTGCTTGTTATTGTTGGTGAATTTGTTTTTTGGTTTGGTTGCTCTCTTCTTTCTTTCTCCTTTACTTCTAATTTTTTTTTAAATTTTCAATATTTTTTTACTTTTTATTTTAATAACTTTATTTTATTTTACTTTTTTCTTTCTTTCTTTTTTTTCTCCCTTTTCTTCTGAGCCGTGTGGCTGACAGGGCCTTGGTGCTCTAGCCGAGCGTCAGGCTGGTGCCTCTGAGGTGGGAGAGCGGAGTTCAGGACATTGGTCCACCAGAGACCTCCCGGCTCCATGTAATATCAAATGGTGAAAGCTCTCCCAGAGATCTCCATCTCAACTCTAAGAGCCACCTCCACTCAATGACCAGCAAGCTTCAGTGCTGGACACCCCCTGCCAAACAACTAGCAAGACAGGAATATAACCCCACCCATTAGCAGAGAGGCTGCCTAAAATCATAATAAGGTCACAGACACCCCAAAACACACCACCGGATGCAGTCCTGCCCACCAGAAAGACAAGATCCAGGCTCATCCACCAGAACACAGGCACCAGTCCCCTCCACCGGGAAGCTTACACAACCCAGTGAACCAACCTTAGCCACTGGGGGCAGACACCAAAAACAATGGGAACTACAAACCTGCAGGCTGTGAAAAGGAGACCCCAAACACAGTAAGTTAAGCAAAATGAGAAGACAGAGAAACACACAGCAGATGAAGGAGCAAGGTAAAAACCCACCAGACCTAACAAATGAAGAGGAAATAGGCAGTCTACCTGAAAAAGAATTCAGAGTAATGATGTTAAAGATGATCCAAAATCGTGGAAATAGAATGGAGAAAATACAAGAACGTTTAACGAGGACCTAAAAGAACTAAAGAGCAAACAAACAATGATGAACAACACAATACATGAAATTTAAAATTCTCTAGAAGGAATCAATACCAGAATAACTGAGGCAGAAGAATGGATAAGTGACCTAGAAGATAAAATAGTGGAAATAACTACTGCAGAGCAGAATATAGAAAAAAGAATGAAAAGAATTGAGGACAGTCTCAGAGACCTCTGGGACAACATTAAATGCACCAACATTCGAAATATAGGGGTCCCAGAAGAGGAAAAGAAAAAGAAAGGGACTGAGAAAATATTTGAAGAGATTATAGTTGATAACTTCCCTAATATGGGAAAGGAAATAGTCAATCAAGTCCAGGAAGCACAGAGAGTCTCATACAAGATAAATCCAAGGAGAAATACGCCAAGACACGTATTAATCAAACTATCAAAAATTAAATACAAAGAAAAAATATTAAAAGCAGCAAGGGAAAAACAACAAATAACACACAAGGGAATCCCCACAAGGTTAACAGCTGATCTTTCAGCAGAAACTCTGAAAGCCAGAAGGGAGTGGCAGGACATATTTAAAGGGATGAAAGGGAAAAACCTACAACCAAGATTACTCTACCCAGCAAGGATCTCATTCAGATTCTGTGGAGAAATTAAAATCTTTACAGACAAGCAAAAGCTAAGAGAATTCAGCACCACCAAACCAGCTTTACAACAAATGCTAAAGGAACTTCTCTAGGCAAGAAACACAAGAGACGGAAAAGACCTGCAAAAACAAACCCAAAACAATTAAGAAAATGGGAATAGGAACATACATATCGATAATTACCTTAAACGTAAATGGATTAAATGCTCCCACCAAAAAACATAAACTGGCTGAATGGATACTAAAACAAGACCCATATATTTGCTGTCTACAAGAGACCCACTTCAGACATAGGGACACATACAGGCCGAAAGTGAGAGGGTGGAAAATGATATTCCATGCAAATGGAAATCAAAAGAAAGCTGGAGTAGCAATTCACATATCAGACAAAATAGACTTTAAAATAAAGATTATTACAAGAGACAAAGAAGGACACTACCTAATGATCAAGGGATCAATCCAAGAAGAAGATAGACAATTGTAAATATTTATGAACCCAACATAGGAGCACCTCAATACATAAGCCAAATGCTAACAACCATAAAGGGGGAAATTGACAGTAACACAATCATAGTAGGGGACTTTGTCACCCCACTTTCACAATGGACAGATCATCCAAAATGAAAATAAATAAAGAAACACAAGCTTTAAATGATACATTAAACAAGGTGGACTTAATTGATATTTATAGGACATTCCATCCAAAAACAACAGAATACACTTTCTTCTCTAGTGCTCATGGAACATTCTCCAGGATAGATCATATCTTGGATCACAAATCAAACCTTGTTAAATTTAAGAAAACTGAAATCATATCAAGTATCTTTTTCAACCACAATGCTATGAGACTAGATATCAATTACAGGAACAAATCTGTAAAAATTACAAACACATGGAGGCTAAACAATACAGTACTAAATAACCAAGAGATCACTGAAGAAATCAAAGAGGAAATCAAAAAATACCTAGAAACAAATGACAATGTAAACATGACCACCCAAAACCCAGAGATAAACCCATGCACCTATGGTCAACTAATCTGTGACAAAGGAGGCAAGAATATACAATGGAGAAAAGACAGCCTCTTCAATAAGTGGTGCTGGGAAAACTGGACAGCTACATGTTAAAGAATGAAATTAGAACACTCCATAACACCATATACAAAAATAAACTCAAAATGGATTAAAGACCTAAGTGTAAGACTGGACACTATAAAACTCTTAGAGGAAAACATAGGCAGAACACTCTATGACATAAATCACAGCAAGATCTTTTTTGATCCACCTCCTAGAGAAATGGAAATTAAAACAAAAATAAACAAATGGAACCTAATGAAACTTAAAACCTTTTGCACAGCACAGGAAACCATAAACAAGACGAAAAGACAACCCTCAGACTGGGAGAACATATTTGCAAATGAAGAAACTGACAAAGGATTAATCTCCAAAATTTACAAGCAGCTCATGCAGCTCAGTATCAAAAAAACAAACAACCCAATCCAAAAATGGGCAGAAGACCTAAATAGACATTTCTCCAAAGAAGATATACAGATTGCCAATAAATACATGAAAGGATGCTCAACATCATTAATCATTAGAGAAATGTAAGTGAAAACCACAATGAGGTATCACCTCACACCGGTCAGAAAGGGCATCATGAAAAAATCTACAAACAAGAAATGCTGGAGAGGGTGTGGAGAAAAGGGAACCCTCTTGCACTTGGTGGGAATGTAAATTGATACACCAACTATGGAGAACAGTATGGAGGATCCTTAAAAACTAAAAATAGAACTACCATACAACCCAGCAATCCCACTACTGGGCATATAGCCTGAGAAAACCATAATTCAAAAAGAGTCATGTACTGCAGTGTTCATTGCAGCTGTATTTACAGTAGGTAGTTCATGGAAGCAACCTAAGTGTCCATCAACAGATGAATGGATAAAGAAGATGTGCCACATATATACAATGGAATATTACTCAGCCATATAAAGAAATGAAATTGAGCTATTTGTAGTGAGGTGGATGGACCTAGAGTCTATCATACAAAGTGAAGTAAGTCAGAAAGAGAAAAATAAATACCGTATGCTAACACATATATATGGAATCTAAACAAAAAAAATGGTCTAAAGGACCTAGGAGCAGGACAGGAATAAAGACGTAGACCTACTAGAGAATGGACTTGAGGACACGGGGAAGGGGAAGTGTAAGCTGGGACAAAGTGAGAGGGTGGCATGGACACATATACACTACCAAATGTAAAATAGATAGCTAGTGGGAAGCAGCCGCATAGCACAGGGAGATCAGCTCGGTGCTTTGTGATCCCCTAGAGGGGTGGGATAGCGAGGGTGGGAGGGAGACCCATGAGGGAGGAGATATGGGGATATATATATATGTATAGCTGATTCACTTTTTTATAAAGCAGAAACTAACACACATTGTAAAGCAATTATACTTCAATAAAGATATTTAAAAATAAATAAATACATTAAAAAGAAAGAAAAGAAATAGAACAGAAATACAGTGATCTTAGTTTCTGGCTATAGAGAATGTAAACTCCAGCAAAAATATGCATTTCTATAAAAGTTTGAAATATTAAATTTGCATTTCTAGACCTCTTTAGTTATTGAAAAAAAGTCTCATTTTATTGATTTGACTTAAACAAACCTGTGGATGGAGGGTGATAAGGTGGGCATCAGGTGACAGTGTAAGAGCCAACATGAATTAGTCCTGTAAAATCAGGCAGAGTACAGAAAGAAGGACTTGTGTTTGTGTAATATATAGCCCTGCTTTTTTTTTAAACAAAGCTGAAGAGATGTGTGTTCAGACAGATGTGTGTTCAAATCCTGACACTCTTACTGTCTTACTATCTTTGTCCTAAAATGAAGACAACCTACCTCATATAGTAGGTATGAGGATTAAATGTGTCTATAAATTTTAAAATGTATTGCACATAATAAGTGTTTAGTAAATAGTAGTTGCTATAAAAGCATACAAGGGCGTGACAGATGTGTCCATTATAAAAACATATCTGTTTCATTTTCTAAAGTAGTATATGAGCATTTTTTATAATGAACACTGTAAGTTAATTTTTAAGTGCGATGTTTTTCCAAAGATAGAATATTGAACATTATGAAAGTGCTTAATCTTAGTAAATTGTTACTTCATTATCATGGAAAACAGAATTGTTTGTTACCAGGATGGTGAGAATAAGTACTTTATAGGGTGTTGATACCCAGATGACTTAATTAGATTAAAGAGGGTTGAAGCCAGTGCACTGAAAATGTCATAGCATAAAATCTTTTCATATAAAATTTATGTTTATATTTAATATTGTTTTTAAAATTTGCTATAATTTTAAAGAATAACATGCCTCTGACTTCCCAAATTTTTTTTCTCTGTAAGATAAGTGCATGTAAAACAATTTATTCCCCCTGGATTAGTTGAATAGATAAATCCCTGATGCTACTAAACTCACGTACAAAAGACATAATGGGATTACTTTATTTACTTTCAGATTTTCAGACGTTGCTGGTTGGTTTTTAAGAAGGCGTCTAGTAAAGGACCCAGAAGGCTAGAAAAATTTCCAGATGAAAAGGCAGCATATTTCAGAAACTTTCATAAGGTAAGTCATGGTCTTTGGAATCTCTGGGGAATAACTGTACCCTTGGCAACAACTGTGGAGGCATTCCTTTTGATAGATGAAATCTGCAGAGGCAAAAATGCATGGCCAGGATAAAATGTCCCTGCACTGATAAAATGCAAAAGTTGTTTTTCTCCTTTATTTTAATCATCTGCTATAAATGCCAGTGGTACCTCTGCAAAATGAAAGACTCATTTTTATTGCTACTTTGCAAAATGAGATGACTCATAACTCAACCAGATCACTTCCCAAGGTGCTGAGTAGGCATCTTCCCTCTTTTCAGGTTAATTGTTCATTTTTTACTTTGATTTAAAGCATGGGCAATGTTTTGGAGATAAAACTTTTGAGGCTGGTGTTAGCAGTGTTAATGACACTGTTAACTTACAAAGCATTTGCTCTTTACAGCTTAAGAAGAACAATCATCATGTATGCTGATGTGTAGAGATGTGACATAAATCCTATGAATGAAATATCAATTTCCTAAGAATTAAAAGTATGTAAGAAATTGCCCTAGAATGATGCTAAATATGCTGCTGAAAGTTATCTCTGGTGATAATGTCAAAAAAGAGTTAAGTATTTGATAGCAATGTGGAGGATTCATGATCAGAATGCAGAATTGTGGAACAGCATTGCTTTTTTTTTTTTTTTTTTTGGGCTGCGCTACACAGCTTACAGGATCTTAGTTCACTGACCAGGGATTGAACCCAGGCCCCAGCAGTGAAAGCACCTTGTCCTAACCACTGGACTGCCAGGGAAGTCCTAAAATTTTCTCACTGTTGTGGCCTCTCCCGTTGCGGAGCACAGGCTCCGGACGCGCAGGCTCAGCGGCCATGGCTCACGGGCCCAGCCGCTCCGCGGCATGTAGGATCTTCCCGGACCGGGGCACGAACCCATGTCCCCTGCATCGGCAGGCGGACTCTCAACCACTGCGCCACCAGGGAAGCCCAGCATTGCTTTTTTGATAGAATGCCCACATAAGCTCAGGAAAGACTCTAATTCCTCACTGTTGGTAACATAGAGTAAGTTACCCTGATTAATGTAATGAGTCTGTGGAATTTATTTTATGTGATGTATAGTGCTAATTTCTTCTTTTATTAAAAATAGAGTGCTTGCCAGGGATGAGGTGGGTGGGAGGGATAAATAGGCATAGGACCAAGGATTTTTAGGACAGTGAAACTACCCTTTATGATACTGTAATGGTGGATGTATGTCATTGTAAATCTGTCCAAAGCCATAGAATGTACAACACCAAGAGTGAACCTTACTGTAAAATATGGACTTTGGGTGATTATGTTGTATCAAAGTAGATTCATGAGTTATAACAAATGTACCATCTGGTGGGGATGTTGATAATGGGGGAGGCTATGTATTTGTGAGGGCAGGTTGCGTAAGGGAAAGCTGTGTGCTTTCTGCTCAATATTGCTGTGAACGTAAAACTGCTCTAAAAAGTTAAGTCTATTAAAAATAGATTATTCAGCAGTAATGTGCTAACCAATCCTATTACACAAATAACTAGCAGTCTTCTGTATTAGATTTGAACCTATATCATAAGGCTTAAAATGTGAATTTATTTAACTCTCTATGAGGTATTCTATGTTTTAATATAGATTTACTAATAGAGAATCCAAGTTCAAGTTCCTGCCCAGCCACTTACAAGCTCATAGGAGTTTGATTTTCTCATGAGGACGTGGATTTTAAAATTGTAATATTACATGTCTCTTTTGAAGACTATTTAAGATAGAGTATCAAATAACAACAAACACAGTGATGCAGGTTCTAACTATATGAAAAATTATTTGCAGCCTGAAGTCATATTGATATTTTGTATGACGATGATGACCATGGCAATAATTTTAAGCCTGACTTAATGACAAACTGCCAGGTCGTGAAATGTAAGTCTGTAACGTTTAGTTTTTGAGTAAAATTTTGGAAGACTGAGCATAGTATATATATTCTGTGGATTCCTGGTCAGAACGCCTGCCTGCTGGTCAGTGCTGTACCCTGGCCGGACACTCTCTAGACAGCGCACCTAGAGTCCATGTACCTATGATTCAGCCATCTTTTACTTGCAAAATGGCAACATTATAAGCAGTATTTTAACCACCTATAAGGGTTAATAATTTAGACAAAGATGAGTGTAAGCTGTCTCCTTTACACGATGCACTGGGGGGCACGAGGAGATGCACGAGGCACAGTCCTTGCCCTGAAAGAGCTTGTATTCCAGAGGAAAAGACAGACATATGCAGATAATTTTGATTCAATATGAACAAGTCTTAATAAATTGAAAAGGGTTGAGGTCATAGAGTGTGTTCTCTGACCATAAATTATTTAAATTAGAAATCAATGTTATATAGTAAATGCTAAGTATTTGGTAATTAACATATTCTAAGGGGTAATAATTCCAAGGCAATGTAGTAGTCACAGAGGCTATTAGCAGATATTCTAAACTCAAAGATAATAAAAACACAAATATCAGCATGCGTGGAATATAGCTATACCAGTGAGTATAGGGAAATGTATAGCTATGAGTTCTTACATTAGAAAGAAACAATAAATGTAGGAGAAAATATCAATGAAACAGAAACCAAAATAGCAATCAGGAAATTTTGTAAAGTCAGTAGCTGTTTCTTTTACAAAAAAAATCACTCACTTGATTAACTCTTAACCAAATTTATCAGGAAAAAAAATAATAAGAAAAATCAAAGGCTGGGAAGAGTAGAGGGGTTATCACTACAAATTCTACTTGACAGCTTAAAGGAAATAGACAAACTCCTTGAAAGATACAAACTACCCAGTCTTATTCAATAGCTGAAGACCTAATAAAAACTTTGAACTTATAGTTCAAAACTTTCCCACCAAGAAAACTTCAGGTCCATATCATTTCACTTGTTAATACTACAACATATTTAAAGGGAAAAAATTAATCCACATAAATACTTAAGGAAAATATAAAAAGGAGGAAACCCTTTCCAACTCACTTTATCAGACTGATATTATCTGAAAACCAAAACTAGACAAAGACACTAGGTGAAAGTGACTGATTAATATCCCTACAAATCAGAACATTTAAACAAAATATTAGCAAATCTAATTCAACAGTATGTTAAAATGATAACATATGATCAAGCAAGATTTACAATAGAAATGCAAGGTTGTTTTAACATTTGAAAATCGACCAATGTAATAATGTAGAATTAAAGAGAAAATATATCATGGGATACTTTAAATGTATACAGAAAGACATTTCTGTATGCATATAAAGACAAAATTCAACATCCATTTATGATTTAAAACTCTCAGAACATCAAGGACAGAATGAACTTCCTTAATCAGAAAAACAGCATCTAACAAATACCTACAGAAAAGAAAAAGAAAACTGTTTCTATGCTCAATGACATAATCGCTTGTTGAAAATGCATGATCATCTTCAAAACAAATACCAGAACTAACGAATGAATTTAGTGAATGACATTTTATGAACACTTGAATTTTTAAATAGTAGCAGTTAACATTTGATAAATTAATTTTTTAAAAAAGAACTCAATTTACAGTAGTGCCAACAAATAATTATAAAGCACATGTGCGGTCTCTACACTGAAAACTATGGAACATAGCTGAGAGAATGAAAGAGGACCCAAATAAATGGCAAGAAATAAAATATTCTTAGATTGATACCAATTCAATATTGTTAGGTTGTCAATTCTTCCTAAATCGATATGTAACATAATTCTTATCAAAATTCCAGGAATATTTTCTTGTAGGTATTGACAAGCTAATTCTATATGGATATTTGCATAACCTATATTAGCCAATGCAATTTTAATAAAGAAGAACAAAACTGGAAATTTATAAGATTTCAAGACTTACTATAAAGTGACAGAAATCATGATATTATGATTTTAGCAAAAGGATATTTATATAGATCAATGGAAGGGAATAGAGAGGTCAGAAATGAACTCATACATATATGGTCAGTTGCATTTTGACAAAGGTATGAAGACAAGTCAATAGGAAAAGAAACTTTCTCCAACTAATGGTGCTAGAACAACTAGATGTCTCTATGTAAATAAATGAACATTGATCTTACGTCACATTATACACATAATAAACTCAGAGCAGATCATTGGTCTAAATTTAAACACCAAAACTATAAAACTCCCCGTAGTAAGTATAGAAGAAAACCTTTTCCACTTTGTAATAAGCAAATATTTCTCAGCACACAAAAAGTATAAACCATAAGAAAAAATTGGTAAATTGAGCTGTATTGAAATTTAAAACTTTTTCTCTTCAAGTGATCTAGCTAACAAAATAAAAAGACAGGTAAGTCTGGGAAAATACATGCAAACATTTTTCTGACCAGAAACACATATCCAGAATACTTAAAGAATTCTTAGAACTCAATAATAGGATAAAAACCCAGTATTTTAGGTTTAACAAAAGATGTGAACAGATATTTTCCAAAATAAGATATATGAACAGCAAACGAGAACATGAAAAGATGCTCAACATCATCAGTGATCTGCAAGATTTAAATTCAAAGTAACACTCTCCATCCATTAGAATGGCTAAAATTATAAAGATTGAAATTAACCAGAATTGTAGAACTCATACATTACTGATGGACACGTAAAATTTTATAAGCACTTTGTAAAACAGTTGGCAGTTTCTTTAAAAGAGTAAACATACATCTGTCCAGCCATTCCACTTCTAGAAATCTACTCCCCTTCCCCGCAAATGAATAGCCATGTCCAAATAAATATATGTACGAAAATGTTCATAGTAACTTTATTCAGAATAGCCTAAAAGTGGAAACAACCCAAGCAGAAGAATGAATAAACTAATTGTGGTACATCCGTCAATGGAAAACCAATGATGGAAAGGAAAGACCTACTGATACACATAACACATAATAACAGATGAATCTCAGAATCATAATGCTGACTGAAAGAAGACCCAAAATAATACATATTGTATAATTTCAC